CCACGACGCGATGCACACACACACACACACACACACACACACACACACACACACGCACACACAAACGCAAACCATTGTAGCCGATACAATGGCACAGTATGTGATCAAAGGCTCGGCACAAGATGCGGGTGCTAGAGCCAATCTGAGTAGGTGGACGAAAGTACGAAAGAGATACCAGTGGGTGTGCTAAGCAAGCGTGAGATGCGCAGCCGGACCTACATACACACGTGTACTGATAGTCACGTATCTACCTCAACCAACTCCAGGGTATAAGGGTTCAGGGTTTAGGGTTTAGGGTTTGTGATAAATCAACTGGGATTAGCTTGACTTCCGACAGACTGTTTCGCCGTCATCGATGCTGGTGTCCACGTCATACGTGTCAAACTATACAGTGTGCGGGGTACCACAGCACGCACACTTCAGGCTTCATGACTCTGGTTTTTAACTCACGCAAGAACCAGGTTTAACCCACACACACCAGGTTTATCCCACGCTAGCCAAATCGATCCCACCTACCTGTGCCTAGTATCGCTATCGCTCTCGTCGGAGCTGTCGCCGCTGCTGCGTGAAGTCTGCGCAGTCATCGCCGACTGATTGGTCACCTGTCGCAGCTGTTGTTCAAACTGTTTGTTCTGCTCCTCTTCCTGGTCCTGTTTTGTGGTGAATAGGTGCAATTGTGTCGACGATAAGTAAGTTTGCTTTGCGTGTGTGATAAGTTCATTTTGTTTGTGTGTCTGCACATCTGCATGCACAATCAATCAACATTCGTATATGGCAGGTAGATCGGCAAGATTTCATTATTAGAAAAAAACCCATTTGATACATCCACATCTAGATGAAAATAACGCAAGATCTCCGTAATACCTTCCTAGGTAAGCAATGATTGAGTTACGACTTGTATAAGGTCGTCATTCTCGCAATTACGCCCATGAATACATACACATTCGAGTATATTTCGATATAATACAAGTACTTATTGATATATGCACTATACTACCTACTGGTATATGTAGTGGTTGGGCTATGGCCTGAAAACAAAACCGTATTTCTCGCAAACGTCCCCATAGAAACAACTACATCCAGGTATATACATACATACATACATATATATATATATATATACATACATATATATACATATATATATACACATATATATAT